ACATATTCATTCTATCAAATCTCACAGCTAACACAAATGCCAATGTAAAAGTGAGCTATGATTCTATGTGCATTCAAAACATGGAAGTAATCAACAATTTTCAAAACAGTGACTTGAGTTTCAAAAAATTCATCACTTGTACCAAAATTTGATTGATGATTACTCTCAAGTGTAGTTAAGACTGTGCTCTACTATTGAACCTAATTAGATCTTCTAATTCTGACAAGTTTGTTTACTTCTTTTCCATTTATAGGCACTACGCAGGTGAGAAAAGCTTCAGCCTTTAGTTGGGTACTTCTATACTACTGTTACATATTCTGAATGATTCTCCAGACAAAAATGTCCATGACTCAAGTTAATTGCATTAACCAACAAGTAATAAATTGAAAAGAATCGTGATGTCTACTTACGTTTGCCAAAGAAATACCTACTTCTGGCGCACTGCACGGACACTGTAAACATTTCTCAACACTTTCACCTATTTGTAGTTGTGAGTGCTTTTTCTGAGCTTCTAATTAATCCTTATTAATGGGAGCCTCATTTATAAGATTTCGATAATGTTTATATTCATACGTTGATGGTTAGAAAGAATAGGGTATGCAACCAGACATACGCTTTATATCAATATGTTACAGAAAGCTTTATGCGATATTGTGGTTGGATCCATAATATGAATCTGTAAATTATAACACTAATAGGGGCTTACAATCATATTTATTGTAATTTAAACTGATGATGACTTCAATGAACTGCTAACGTCAAAGAATAATTGCACAATCTGTCGGTAAACATCGCAACCTACTAGATTGTTATTATGATAATGGGTATAGTCCGGTCCGTTTAGACTATGGAATATAGAAATTCTGAATCTTTTCGAAAACGTTTATTTTCACGGTTAAAAAGAATAATGGTATTCGGCGTGATCCAATATTCAATGAAGCGATCGTCATAAAACCGAAAATAGCAGGTTTCAGACGTTCGGCTCGCACGCGCCTCGCATTCGTAATACGATCATACCTACAATACCCCGCCTCACAGGAATCGCGAACCTCGAGCGAAATTCAAAATTGAAACTTCAAACTAAAAATATCTGCATATCTTGGTCTGTCGTTTTGCGAAAAAAAATCGTAGCTATGTCGATCCGTAACGAAGGTCCGTATCGACGAAGACAAATTACGCAGAAAACGGCTGTCATCGGTACTGTTGAGGCGCTCAAAGCTTACTTTTCGAAATTTGACGGTAATTCTAAACGGTCAGAATCGTTTCCTCAGCTCATTATCGTTATTTTTCAATAGCTGTATAATTTTTACTCGCTTACGTACGGTAGTAATAAGCGACGACAGAGCCGGATGTCAAAGTGACTTTTTCACGCTTCGAAAAGTAGCATATTGTCGAGCAATTTTTAAAAAATCGAACTTTTCAGCGTAACACGAATAAAAGAAACGGATAAAGTTGCGATCCCGTATTCGAACTACGGGCTTTCTTATGAGAAAGTCGCCAGGTCCGTATCTTCGGAGGAGATAGACCGTGACGGCGATAAGCGCGTGTCATAAGCAAAAAAGTCGTTAGAAACGACGTTTGAAGGTCGTTTATTCGATAGCAGTGCCGTAAACGGAAAAAAGTATCTCCGGGTAATGTCATTAGCGCTCGTCGAGGTGCACGAACGCGGCTTGCGAAATTCCTTTTCTCTTCGCATAAAGGAGATATCGAAGTTTTTACCGCGACTTGAAAATTTCTCAAAAAAACTAAGCCGCGGTACGCGAATAGTTCCGCCCTAAAGGGTACGCCCGTCGTTAGCTATCGAACGAGACCAATCTCGAGTCGATATTTCAATATAAACGGCGAGACGGCCGATAAAATAGTCTCCATACCGCGCGAAAAACCGCCGATTTTTCGACTTTACCGGCCGTTTTCGATCCGGTTCGTTCCTCTGACCGCTCCGACTCTCGCCCGCCCGCGAAGCGCCGACTTTCTAGTTTCCGAAACGGTATCGCTTTCCTTCCGGACGTTTCGCGAACCGAAAAAAAAAACCGGAAAAACCCATATCCTACCTATATCCTACCTATAAACAAAAGATCACCGCTTAATATTGTCGAAATTCCAGAAAAATTAGTTCAAAAAATAAAAATTGAATTTCCGTATAAAACTTTCTTTGGCCTAAATTTTAGGTTAGGAACAAGATATCGAGATGTGGTTTCCGCGAGCTTGTTGAGACACAATTTTTTTTCATAAAAAGCGGCCACATGTTAAAACTAACAAAATTTAAATATTATAAAGTTTCTAGCTCTTTTCAAATAGCCCAAATTTGTTAGAATCGGCTGAACTAGTTCGAAGATACAGGGTGTTTTTTTACGGAAACCTTTGAATACTTCCCACCACTTTATTTTTGGGATACAGCAAAAATTTTCAAGATATATTACCTTGCATTCTTAGTTGCCATCTTCTACAATTGTACATATAAATATCTCTAGTTAGTCAATGCGCATCCCATTTAAAAACTTCTAGTGTACTTCAAACACATTTTAGAGGTTATTTTGGAGTAAAAAAAACAACAATAGAAATGGGACCAAATTACCCAAATTGTGATTTGAAACGTTTACTTCTGGTTTTGCAAACATCGTACAATTTTGTCAAGATATATTTAAAATGATTGTAGTACTAAAATTACTCATATTGTACCCCTTTCATTAATGCGCATACCTCTGGTGGATTTTAAATATTTTGACTAGGTAAAATAAATCGAAAGCAAAAATGCGAAGTTAGACAAATTTTTGCTTACTTCTGGTATAGCAAGTTTTTTTGAATTTCAAATTGGTTTATTTATCAAAAATACAGAAAAATTCCTAAATGAAGCGCTATGTTTAAGGCCCGTATCGTCAGTCGTCCCGACAATATAGGGCGCGTTTATGGCCTCCTTCATTTCGGTAATATTACGTTTCTTTCATTAACGTACGTGTATGTCCTGAATTTGATTCCGACATACTGACAGTTCTGGCTTTAGGTTATGTTCTTGTTTTGACGTTCAATGGAAAGCAGAACCATAATTTATAATTCTCTGCAAATAATATCGATTACTCAAAATTACCTCGCTACATTGAACAATTCCACAACCTGTGGTATCTTCAAGAAATTGTTGAGTTAGGAAAATTAATACACATGATATATTATTATAATATTATATGTGTGTGTATGAAAGTCCAGAAGCTTACAACCAAGCTATTCTCTTGATGGAGGTTGGTAAGTTACAAAACAAAATCATTGCATATCCATATTAATACCTTATCGCACTATTTTCACGTATGATTCATTCTCACAGACTTTATGAGACGGTTCCCACAAATCATTGTGGGACTCTAGATTGTGTAGAGTGTAAGGCACAAGTATGTATAATCTGTGTATGTGAAGATCGTAATTACTATTATTGACCATCGCTATTTCAGGGTGCTCAAAATGCCACTGTCATAAAAACTTTATGACATTTCCATAATAATTACGAATGGGGAAATTAAAAGAAGATTGTGACTCATCAAGGGAACTACTTTCCTGTTAAACAAACTCCAAACAATTCAAACAACTGGATAAGCGGAAAAAACCAATTATGTTGAAAATTGTAGTTACCTCAAAGTCAGACTGGGTTAAGCCCTAATAGGTAGTTTTAAGATAGTTTCATTGCATTCATAATTCACTCATCATTGCAGGTAGATAGATGTTGCAAGTATCAAATTAAAACTCCCAACTTTATCATGAACTTAACATGTAAGACTCATTTTAGGCAAAAATGACCGTAACTTAACCTGGCTCTGAGGTACAGAATTTGATTTGTATTTAAACTGCTGGCTATAAATTTTGGATTTAAATCACTATCAATAATGGAGCCTTCAGCTACTGAGCATACTTCAGTGGTATCATCAAGAACAAATGAGATCAATGCACTGAGGCTCAAAGAACAATATGTTGTATTTATCAAATGTGTTGCACCATATATTAATGTTGCAGAATGTGGTATATGAAGAAAAAGTGAGGACAGCTAAATACAGTTCTAATTTGTTCATTGACTTGTAATCTTAACATGAAAGGGAAAATCTACTAAAACTGTGGCATAGGAAAGAAAAACATTTACTGTTTGAGAAAGAAATATCAAAAACTGAACAGATTTGATACTTGAAACACTCATATGAAGAGCAGATTTTGCTAGTTATGATAGTCACAGTAAAAAAAAAATCTGAAATATTTGGCTCGAAAGTCTGCATTCATCTCTTGAAGTATTGGTAGCTTCAATTTAGTTTGTTTCCTAATTTAATTTCCATATCTAGGAGTATGGTTTAAGGTCCATCTTAAGATGAAAACTTCAGGCGATCGTATATCCTAAATTTTTTAACTTTTGAAACACAGGGTGGTAAAAAAGGTCAAAAAAATAAATCCTCGATTATGAAGATCCCTATAACCACTTAATAAAATTTGGCATACATATAAACGTATCAACAGTAATTTTACCTGCCTGTTTTGATAGACAGTGATGGTATGGTGTTTGTTTCTCTCTCATTAAAATTTTCTATCACTTCTAAGCAGAAATCGATGCGAAATGTTTTTTTTTACAATCTGATGCATGGTTTTTATAAAACCGATCATAACAATATTGTTAACATGACAATATCACCATGCAGATAATTTTTTGGGTGGCAATAGTGGGTCGGACATGAAAAAATGAATTCTGCCTAATAATGAAGTCCAGCCATACTGTTCTTGAAAACGATCGTTTTATGAGAGCCTTACAACAGCAGTTGGCTCACGGTCTGTCAGCAGTAGGGGCTGTTATTGAGACTATGATGCCTTACAAAGAACAAGCTGATACTATGAAATCATTGGCAGAGGCCTGCCAGTTATTTACTAACGTTCACCGTAGATTTAAAATTATACCACATTTAAATCCTGAATGTAAGAAGGTGATAGATAGCTTGGACATAGATGACTTTTTGTTCAATTCAAAACTCGCTGAAACAATGAAGAACGAACAGGCAATAAAAAAGGCCAGTACTGATTTTAAGAAGAAAACTTGGCACGCCAATTTTATAGGACCTCCAGGATCTGGGACACCAAATAGCTATCATTTAAACTACCGGCGTGCGCTACCAAAAGGAAGAATGAAAGAGAAGAGGAGGGGAGAAGAGAGGAGACCATTGGAACAACAGAGGAAGTTCAGAAGAGACCCCAAGAAGTACTATCACCAGAAATAACTGCTAGAACAAACGTGAGTAATCACGCTGGTAGACTTTCACTTTTTCTACAGGGCTGGAAAAATATCACAAGAGACCGAGTGGTCTTGGATTGGATTACGGGAGTTAAAATACCCTTTCTTAAAAGGCCTGTGCAGTTTTTTGAGCCCTCTGTAGAAATCCCAATTGAACTTTTCCAAGAATATAAAAACTCTATTCAGGAATTGTTACGAATGGGTGCAATTGAAAAATGTAGTTCTCTAAAATTACAGTTTCTATCATCTCACTTCTAAGTTAAGAAGCCTTGTGGTACAAACAGGTTTATTTTAAATTTAAAAGCACTTAATAAATTTATTATTGCTCCACATTTCAAGTTGGAAGATTATAGGACTGTGGTGAAGCTTTTAAATGAAGGTTATTATCTCTCAAATATTGATTTGAAGGATGCATATTTTTTAATTTCAGTTAGCAAAAAGTACAGGAAATACCTACGATTTAAATTCGAAACTACCTGTATCAGTTCAAATCTTTACCATTTGGTCTTAATATAGCACCATTTATTTTACAAAACTTGTTAAACCATTAGCAAGGAAACTCCGTCTTATTGGAATAATCATCGTATTTTATTTAGACGATATTCTTATAAGAGTTAGAAATAAAAGTGAATGCAAAAAACATACACAAATAATTCTCGCAGAATTGGACAAACTAGGTTTTGTAATAAATAGACAAAAAAGTTTGGGACTTTAATAAGAGACAGTGTTTGAACCCTGCGGCTTATGTTAAAGCCATAAGTGTGACAAGTTTGTATGTTACGTACTCTAAATCCAACGCTTCCAGGGGATATAATGTACTTAGGTAATTTAAAATTGGGTCAGGATTCCAAGTTATTTTATATTTACCCTGTGGTGGTCGAATATTAGACACTCCCTTAACAAAACGATTAATAATTTTCTCATCGCTATTGTTTATAGGACTGAAATTAAATTCAGAGCTGACCTATAAGAATTTAGTACTGAAAATGAAAGTCCTTTATATTGAAGGTATCGGATAAAAAATCCACGTAAGTCTCTAGATTATAAACAAAAGGCAAACAACAAAAACATATTATTGTCATTACAAAATTGCCAAAAATTTTTTAAACGTAAACGCGTACCCTTTGTTAAAGATGCAGTGATTACTTCTATTGCACTCTCTGGAACTCGTTTCTTTACATAAGACTGCCGGATAATTTCCCCGCTACCAGGGAAATCTCCCTGTAGAAAGGATGATAGTCTCTGAAAGGAGAGATTAGTAGAGATTTATTTGATTCAAAATAAAGAGGTTCTTCCAATATTAGCTTACTGAATAAAGGATACCATGCCTGCGTAGGCCAATAAGGTACAACCACAATTCCCAAGCCTTTTTCCTGTACAATTTCTTCTAACACCTTTGTAATTATTGAAAAGGGAGGAAAAGCATAAAAGAAAAAATTTGACCACTTTACTGTAAAGGCATCTACTGCCCACGAGTCAGGGTCTGGAAACCATGAAACAAATTTTTTACATTTTTTGTTAAATCTACTTGCAAATAAATCTATTTCAGGGCAACTGAACCTTTGTACAATCTGATTATATGCAATGCTATTTAGCTCATTTTCTGTATTTATTGATAATGACCTTGATTCTCTATCAGCTTCAAGATTAGCAGATGAGGTAATATAGCTGGCGAATACAGTGATACTCTTACATTCACACCATTGCCAAAGAGTTTTTGTAATATCATTTAGGTACGAATACTTAACACTTCCGCCTCTATTTATACAGGAAATTGCAGTTTGATTGTCAATCCTTAATAATATACGAATGTTTTCTTTATCTTTGGCAAGTGATTTTAATGCAAAATACGCGGCCTTGATCTCTAAAAACTTTATATGCATTGGTTGTTCATAATTATGCCAGAAACCATGACACCTGGATCCGTCACAAAAGGTTCCCCAACCCGTTTTGGAGGCGTCCGAAAAAATTTCGAGGGAAAAGTTCTTTGATTTCTTATTTTGACCCGATCCTATATTAGTGTGCCACCAATCTAATTCTTGATGTAAGGAGGTTGGAATATGCATCATTTTATTATAATTACGATAACCTCCTCGTAACGAAAAATGTTTAATTTTTTCAAAGGGCTTAATATGAATAAAACCGTATTTCGTTGAAGGAGAAGAAGCTACAAGTTTACCTATTAACCTAGCAAATTCTCTTATCGTACACCTATTTTTCTTTTTTAAAGTTGAAAGCAACTTTCGAGTAGCTTCGCATTTCTCGTTAGGAAGTGAGATAGTCACGGTAATCGTATTGTATATAAAACCCAAGAATTTGACCTTTTGCTGCGGGGATAACATACTTTTTTGTCTATTTATTACAAAACCTAGTTTGTCCAATTCTGCGAGAATTATTTGTATATGTTTTTTGCATTCACTTTTATTTCTACCTATTATAAGAATATCGTCTAAATAAAATACGATGATTATTCCCATAAGAAAATAAAGGTTTAACAAGTTTTGTAAAAAAATGGTGCTATATTAAGACCAAATGGTAAACATTTAAACTGAAAATATGGATCCTTCAAATCAATATTTGAGAGATAATAACCATCATTTAAAAGCTTCACCACAGTCCTATAATCTTCCAACTTGACATGTGGAGCAATAATAAATTTATTAAGTGCTTTTAAATTTAAAATAAACCTGTTTGTACCACAAGGCTTCTTAACTAAGAAGTAAGATGATAGAAACTGTCCTTTTAGAGAACTAGATTTTTCAATTGCACCCATTCGTAACAATTCCTGAATAGAGTTTTTCTATTCTTGGAAAAGTTCAATTGGGATTTCTGCAGAGGGCTCAAAAAACTGCACAGGCCTTTTAAGAAAGGGTATTTTAACTCCCGTAATCCAATCCAAGACCACTCGGTCTCTTGTGATATTTTTCCAGCCCTGTAGAAAAAGTGAAAGTCTACCAGCGTGATTACTCACGTTTGTTCTAGCAGTTATTTCTGGTGATAGTACTTCTTGGGGTCTCTTCTGAACTTCCTCTGTTGCTCCAATCGTCTCCTCTCTTCTCCCCTCCTCTTCTCTTTCATTCTTCCTTTTGGTAGCGCACGCCGGTAGTTTAAATGATAGCTATTTGGTGTCCCAGATCCTGGAGGTCCTATAAAATTGGCGTGCCAAGTTTTCTTCTTAAAATCAGTACTGGCCTTGTTTATTGCCTGTTCGTTCTTCATTGTTTCAGCGAATTTTGTATTCAGAATTTAAATGTGGTATAATTTTAAATCTATGTTGAACTGAAAGCCCATGGTGAACGTTAGTAAATAACTGGCAGGCCTCTGCCAATGATTTCATGGTATCAGCTTGTTCTTTGTAAGGCATCATAGTCTCAATAACAGCCCCTGCTGCTGACAGACCGTGAGCCAACTGCTGTTGTAAGGCTCTCATAAGACGATCGTGTTCAAGAACAGATTTTAATAGGTATGGCTGGACCTCATTATTAATTTGAGGAGATTGCAAAGCCTTACAATTTGAAGGTATTTAAACTTTGTCATCAACTCTTCTCGTTGGTCCTTAGATAAACCTTTTTTTAAAAGGCTGTCCCAACGAACGACTATTTCCTCATGCAATTCTTTTCCTACATTATCCTGCGAGTCCGGTCTCGATCCTAGAGCATAAAAACTCTGCTCCGATTGCTCTATTTCATGGACTGTCTGGACATCTGACTTTCTAGTTTTTAAATTTTGAGCTTCATCCTCTGACAATTCTAAAACAATATTATATTCTCTAAGTGCCGGTTGATTTAATCAAATAGAATCGCATGATTCTATTCTGGTAACTATATATATATAGATATAATATATATATATATATAATATATATATTTAAATCATTCGATTTTAATTTTCGGGAGTAACGCTCGTTACCCTAAAAATATTCGAGAATATATTGTTTTATATATTTAGGTAAAAATCGCTCGATTTTATTTTCTAGCAGTGACATGAAAATCGCACGATTTCATGTATTTTAGGAAGTATCGCACGATATTCCCATTATAACCTCTTAATGTGCACAAGTGTAAATTTAAGTCAACAATACATGACTTACCTGATGTACTTGCATATTTTGCAGATGATGAATCACTAGATTCGCTGGACTCACAAAGTTTATTTAGATGCTCCTGCATTTGACGAAATTGCTTCTTTAATTTTTTAATCTCACCATATTTGTCTTGGCTAGACAAACGTCGTTTAGGCATTGTTATGGAAACCTTCCGTACAACACTCACTATTCGAACTGTTATCACTTTATCTGTTGTCGCCGACGAGCACGAAAACGGAATGACTGGGCATGTAATGGTACAGGTCCGGCCGCTGGAGGGGGGAGGGAACACTATACTCTAGGCGCTAAAGAAAGAAACTAAACCCAAACAAATACACGCATATTGCTCGTGAGTGAGTGTTTAGGCGCAGGAGACATTACAGGACCGCATCAAGATATTATGGGTAGTCATCAAAAATTTCATACAAGATAATTATTATCTTTTACAGTAAATTTCAGTTAGAGATTCACAAATGAGTTAACTACACTTTTTAGTTATTAGTAAGTAAGCTGCGCGCACTCATTCAGAAGAGGAACTTGAATCTTCTGAATCGTTTAAATGAATTATTAGAGGTTCAATTTGGGTATCGATGACATTGTCCAAATCCCACATTTGACCTCAACCTTCTCCCGAACGTGGCGGATACAGTTTTTCCATTCCTCTGCCGTAACTCTATTGACTGCGATGTGAAAGAGATTTTTAACATCAGAAAATTTTTAAGTATTATTATTCGACGCCACGTATTGCTTTATGTTGGCCCAAATCAGCTCAATAGGGTTCAGCTCACAATGGTAGGGTGGCAGTCTCAAGACAGTTTTATTTTGTTTTTTGGCCATTTCGTCGATCATTTTAAAATCGTATTTGTATTTATGTCTATTGACTATACTTATCAATTCACCCT